AAATTTCACCGCTATTGATGCTTTTCTTAGCCAGTTATGGACGAAAAAGCCATTTTCTGAAGGGTACTTTATATGGGGGGTAGGGTCGATTATGGGCCTATCCCTATAAAATTTTACAAAGAGATTTATGTTCCCATAAAACATGTTTGTGCCGAATTTCACCTCTATTGATGCTTCTCTTATCCAGTTATGTGCGATAAAGTCGTTTTCTGAAGGGGACTTTATATGGGGGGTAGGGTCAATTATGGACCGATCCTTATAAAATTCTACGAAGAGATTTATGTTGCCATAAAACATGTTTGTGCCGAGTTTCACCGCTATTGATGCTTCCCTTAGCAAGTTATGAGCGATAAAGTCATTTTCTGAAGGGGGCTTATATGGGGGCTAGGCGAAATCGTGGACCGATATTGCCCATTTTCAATACCAAACAAACTGCATCAACTATAAGTATCTGTGCAAAATTTCAGCTCGCTAGCTACTTCCGTTTGGACTCTATCGTGTTTTCAACAGACAGACAGACGGACAGACGGACGGACATGGCTAGATCGTCTTAGAATCTAATAAGGACCCAGAATATATATACTTTTATGGGTCTTAGACGAATATTTCAATGTGTTACAAACGGAATGACAAAAACAATATACCCCCCATCTTTTTTGATGGTGGGTATAAAAACATTATGAGCAATGTTTACGCATTGCAGTATGCTGCACTTTCAAACCAAAATGTTGAAAATGTTTAACATTTTGCATGTATTTGTAGCCGGCTTGCAACATGTTGGTTTGATACAAGTTAGATTTGTAGTAAAAACACACACACAAAATTACACCTGTTTGTAAAAGACAAACAAATTCCCTGGTAAGTAGTTCAGGGTGTAAAGTGCTTACGTATGTGCTTCTTGCAAAATGTTGCATATGTATGAATGTATGTGAGCATTTTTATACTAAATTCGTGTTTTATATCAAATCATCTGTATAGTTTGTGTCCTTGTGCATTATTCTAAATGTCTTGTTATTGTTGTCGTGTTGCTGTCGCAGGATTTAATTCTTGCAGCAAACTTTAATTTTTGGGGAGCAGTGGTAGGGGAATTTTTAACATTTGTTCTCTTCTTTTTCCATTTTCATGCCTCCATACAACACACACACATTCACATGTGGTACTTTCTACAGCAATGTTGCAAAATTGAAGGCCATTTGAGTATACGACGTCGGATTATACTAAATAGTTTTGAAACTGAAAATCAATATTCTCTTTTTTTAGAGCAATACATAACAATAACAACAATAATAAACATTTCTAAGGATAACTTGAGCAAATATTTAATGAGTTTAAACGGAAATTTAATAAAAAGGAAATGTTTTATTTTTTATTGTAGGTTTATTATATGGTGGATTTGATTTAAGGTTTTGAGAAAAGAAATTCTTTAGATAAAGTTTTTCTTAAATTTCCCCCTATTCTAACGTAATATTTCAGTTTAAATGTGAACTTTTTTCCAATTTAGCAAAACTTTAACAAATAACCTAAATTACTTAAAACTTTTTTTTACAAAAAACATCATAATGACTTGTACTTACTCCTGAACTTACTTTTCAATTACTACTAAATACAGCCAGCATTACTTAGAAGGAGTCTAGTAATGACTAAATTACTTTTTTAAATGGTGTTTTAAAAAATGTCAAAACAAATAATAGACGCACTGAACGCATCCTCGTAGCCTAATATCTTTCTCAAAAAGAAACCTACTCACTTAACCCCTTATTTGCAGGCGATCGTATTATTTAAAGATACAAAAATATTAAGTATTTACCTAACTCCCTACTTGTAAGCGAGTGTGCTAAGTACTTGCCTATAATGTCATTATATTGTCAAATTAAGACTTATTTAGTATGCTATTGTGTAAGTAAATTTTAAGTAAGTTTTTGCTGGGAATATTTAATATTTTCTTGAAATTCCCAGAATTAGTTTTTTGTAAGTATATATTTTTAAACTAAATTTAGTTGTTTTGCAAAAAAGTGTTAAAATTGAATTGTCAAACAGCCAGACACAAATAGGTACGCAATTCGCATACAAAATTTTGTTGTAATAACGAGGGCTCGCATACTTTTTACACAGTTGTAGGAGCGTTTGCAAGAGATGTACGAAAAAATGCATCAAATGTATCAAAACTAGAGTTTCAACACAAAAATCTTTAAAAATATTTCGGAAAATCAAATGTTTTACTTGCATTATTTTTATACCGCCGTTGTGGTGAGGGTATGTACACTTGTGCATGTAAACCTTGAGGTACAGGCCGCAATTTTCAAGATATTTTTTTATCAAATTTGGACTGTACCAACTTTTCGGCCTAAGGACAATTTAATATGAAATCGGTTATTTCACTACGCCAATCGGTACTTCCGATTTGGTCTCTTTAGTTACTACCTCAAATATACTAGTATCCCTTCAGAAATCTTCTGAAATATGAGTGTAAATAACACTGTAAATTTTTGTAATGATCGGTCCTCATTTGACCCAAACAGCCCTTACATACAAATTCCCCTTTAGGAAATGCCTTAAAGCTCATAATTATCTTACATATAACCACTAGTATCGTGATAAAACTTCTATAGACAAATAATATCTTCCTTCTAATTCCTAAAACCTCTTTTACAAAATAAGTTTATCATGCATCGATATTAATATAAACATTAGGGGGATTTTCGGAACAGGTCCTTAGTGATTTATGAATTGATTTTCTGTAAGAGGTGTTATAGAAATAGAAATTTGAAAGAGAGATTTTGGCTCTTATAAAACTTGTTTTATCACAATACTGGATACTAGACTACAGACTAGACTATAGACTAGACTATAGACTACTCTATAGACTAGACTATAGACTACTCTATAGATTAGACTATAGACTACTCTATAGACTAGACTATAGACTACTCTATAGACTAGACTATAGACTACCCTATAGACTAGACTATAGACTAGACTGTAGACTAGACTATAGACAAGACTGTAGACTAGACTACAGTCTAGACTATAGACTAGACTATAGACTAGACTACAGACTAGACTATAGACTAGACTATAGACTACACTATAGACTAGACTATAGACTAGACTATAGACTAGACTATAGACTAGTCTATAGACTAAACTATAGACTAGGCTATAGACTAGTCTATAGACTAGACTATAGACTAGACTATAGACTAGTCTATAGACTAAACTATAGACTAGACTATAGACTAGACTATAGACTAGACTATAGACTACACTATAGACTATACTATAGAATTGACTATCGACTAGAACTAGAATCCCTTAATATGTTCTCATATGATCTAATCTAACTATAGACTAGATTATAGATATATAGACTAGACTATAGAATAGACTAAGGAATAGACTATAGACTAGAATATAGACTAGACTATATACTAAACTATAGACTAGACTATAGACTAGACTATACACTAGACTATAGACTAGACTATAGACTAGACTATAAACTAGACTATAAAATAGACTATTGACTAGAACTAGAATTACTTAATATGTTCTCATATGATCCAATCTAACTTTTATATTCTAAAATTAGAATTAGTATAAACAAGGAAAATAAGTAATTGTTTTAAACAAAATATAAATACTTAAGAGTAAACTTTATAGATTACTTTAAATCTGATTAAAAAAAAAACTTGTTCACCCGATGATCTAATCATGCAATTAAAATATTGCATATATACTTCAATAAAATGTAAAACTAAAACTATCTGCTTGTCAAAGGTACTATTTATCAGTATTTAAAAAATCTTTAACTTATAGTTTTGATGAAATCATTTTGTGTGATATCAATTTTAATATCAACTATTGGCAATACATTATTATTAACACTACAATACAATTAAGAATTCCAAACATTGCTAGCTAATTATTGAAATTGCCGGCAGGGTTCCAAAAAGGCGCTAAGTACACGTATGATATGGCTTGTGAAATTTAAAACAAATGATCTGAAGGCAAAAAAAATGGCAATTTAAAATAAATTAAGAGAATAATTAATTGATTTGTTTAGACATGAAGCCTCACTAAATTGACAATTTGGAATGAAACGAAATGCGAAAAAAGCAGTAAAATAAATACTTTAATTAATTCAATTAAATAGTTCGTTTGTATGTATATAGAAAAACCTTTAAAATGCTAAGTGATTAATAAGAATTCTTTAGATTGTTTTTTCTATTTTATATAAATTAAATATATTAAGTATAATTCCGTTTAGTTTTTATTTATATTGTTGAAGGCTTATGCAAATTGTATTTGTAATACGCAACCATTTTTAGCAAAAACAACTTATCAAGCTTTTTATAAAAATTATTCCAAACTTACCTATTTTAGTTTTTAGAATTTTCTTCACCTCTTGTTCCGATTTGTATAACAATGCCCATATTATGGAGAAGTTTAGTTTTAATTTAATATTTTTATTAATTTAAAATGACAACAACTTTTATTATTTCATTCAAAAGTGAAAAAAAAACACCGGACTTAAACATGTGCACTTTAAATATATTTATTGTTGTTTGTTTATTTTATTTAATTTTATTAATTTTGTTATACGAATATGTTAATTTTCAGTAAATTAATTCACACACATATAAATCGATAGATGATAACCTTAAAAAGATATTTTTCCAAAAAAACTCATTCAAACAAATTTAGTAATTGGACCGCATAGAAGATTTGTTATACATTAAGCACGAATTTAATAAATTACATAAAACATCCAGTTAAATTGTTTAAATATTTAAAATAACCAATTACCAGTTTAAGTTAATTTTTTTGCTCGTTAATACACTTCCCCTGCTATATTCATTTATTTGGGGTTACGCGTCCGTAACTTGTTTTTTTTTTTTTTTTTTTTTCTATTTCTATTTATTTAAATTAAAATTTTTAACAAAAAAATTTATCAATAACAAACCAACAAAAAAAACACACACTTTGTTTACTTTTTTTACCTTAACTAACAGCTCCCACACTATTTGCCTTTAATAAAGTAACTCAAAGATACTTTTTGTTCTAGTTTTATTTAATTCTATAACTTTTAGTTATTACAACAATTTCTACAATTCGTTTTATAATATTTCTTAATTTTTTGTTTAATATTTCATTTAAATATATTTATAATTTATTTATATATCTTTAAAAAAATATATAATTAATAATTTAAATTCGTTTAATTTAACGTTGCGTTTTTCATACGCTCACACAACCGCCACGGTAAAGTTAAATTTGCAGACTGAAAATTATAGAAACATTTTGTTGTGCTTTAGCAGCTAGCGGATACAAAACCAAAAACACTAACTAAACAGCAAAAAATCAAATTGGATGGTTTGAAACAACAATTCTCACAGCTACAACCAGCGAACAGCTGTTTTAGTTCCAACCATTTAACATGTTTGTATTTGCATTTGTTTTATTTCATTTGCTATCTTAACAGTTTTCTGTTAAATCAACTGTGTATGTTAAATGTTACAGTAAATATCTACAATGTGTATGTAGTTATTTGTTAAATTATTTTAAACAGAATTAGTGACATCATTTTAATATAAATTTACTGTTGTTTGCAGTAATTCGGTCATTAGTACAATGGAATTCTGTCTTTTGTTTTGGGAGTACAAACATATTCATATATTTCATTTTGTTAGATTGTTGTTAGTCATACTACAGCTGGAAAAAAAAGAAAGATTTGAAATATTAAGTTCTATTTCTCTAAACACCAATTAAAATTTTCAGGAATTCTTTTAATCATTAATGTTTTATATAAAATAGGTACTATTACCACAACTAATATGACTGTTACGGCCGATTATTCGGGTAAATTTTTTTCGAAATTTAAAAGAATCTTATTTATCTTTTATTAAACAATTCAATAATAGATGATTCTATGGACAGTAGTCGATTTGCCGTTACCATTCTTAATATTCGTTTTATAAATTTTCGATATCGAATATCTAACATACTTGACAATAGACTAGACTATAGACTAGACTAGACTATAGAATAGACTAGACTATAGACGAGACTAGACTATAGACTAGACTAGACTATAGACTAGACTATAGACTAGACCTATAGACTAGACTATAGACTAGACTATAGACTAGACTATAGACTAGACTATAACTAGACTATAGACTAGACTATAGACTGAGACTATAGACTAGACTATAGACTAGACTATAGACTAAGACTAGAGACTAGACTATAGACTAGACTATAGACTAGACTATAGACTAGACTATAGACTAGACTATAGATTAGACTATAGACTAGACTATAGACTAGACTATAGACTAGACTATAGACTAGACTATAGACTAGACTATAGACTAGACTAGACTATAGACTAACTATAGACTAGACTATAGACTAGACTATAGACTAGACTATAGACTAGACTATAGACTAGACTATAGACTAGACTATAGAGTAGACTATAGACTAGACTATAGACTAGACTAGACTAGACTATAGACTAGACTATAGTAGACTATAGACTAGACTATAGACTAGACTATAGACTAGACTATAGAGTAGACTATAGACTAGACTATGACTAGACATAGAGTAGACTATAGACTAGACTATAGACTAGACTATAGAGTAGACTATAGACTAGACTATAGACTAGACTATAGACTAGACTATAGACTAGACTATAGACTAGACTATAGACTAGACTATAGACTAGATAGACTAGACTATAGACTAGACTATAGACTAGACTATAGACTAGACTATAGACTAGACTAGACTATAGACTAGACTAGACTAGACTATAGACTAGACTATAGACTAGACTATAGACTAGACTATAGACTAGACTATAGACTAGACTATAGACTAGACTATAGACTAGACTATAGACTAGACTATAGACTAGACTATAGACTAGACTATAGACTAGACTATAGACTAGACTATAGACTAGACTATAGACTAGACTATAGACTAGACTATAGACTAGACTATAGACTAGACTATAGACCAGACTATAGACTAGACTATAGACTAGACTATAGACTAGACTATAGACCTAGACTATAGACTAGACTATAGACTAGACTATAGACTAGACTATAGACTAGACTATAGACTAGACTATAGACTAGACTATAGACAGACTATAGACTAGACTATAGACTAGACTATAGACTAGACTATAGACTAGACTATAGACTAGACTATAGACTAGACTATAGACTAGACTATAGACTAGACTATAGACTAGACTATAGACTAGACTATAGACTAGACTATAGACTAGACTATAGACTAGACTATAGACTAGACTATAGACTAGACTATAGACTATAGACTAGACTATAGACTAGACTATAGACTAGACTATAGACTAGACTATAGACTAGACTATAGACTAGACTATAGACTAGACTATAGACTAGACTATAGACTAGACTATAGACTAGACTATAGACTAGACTATAGACTAGACTATAGACTAGACTATAGACTAGACTATAGACTAGACTATAGACTAGACTATAGACTAGACTATAGACTAGACTATAGACTAGACTATAGACTAGACTATAGACTAGACTATAGACTAGACTATAGACTAGACTATAGACTAGACTATAGACTAGACTATAGACTAGACTATAGACTAGACTATAGACTAGACTATAGACTAGACTATAGACTAGACTATAGACTAGACTATAGACTAGACTATAGACTAGACTATAGACTAGACTATAGACTAGACTATAGACTAGACTATAGACTAGACTATAGACTAGACTATAGACTAGACTATAGACTAGACTATAGACTAGACTATAGACTAGACTATAGACTAGACTATAGACTAGACTATAGACTAGACTATAGACTAGACTATAGACTAGACTATAGACTAGACTATAGACTAGACTATAGACTAGACTATAGACTAGACTATAGACTAGACTATAGACTAGACTATAGACTAGACTATAGACTAGACTAGAAACGATATAGACTAGACTATAGACTAGACTATAGACTAGACTATAGACTAGACTATAGACTAGACTATAGACTAGACTATAGACTAGACTATAGACTAGACTATAGACTAGACTATAGACTAGACTATAGACTAGACTATAGACTAGACTATAGACTAGACTATAGACTAGACTATAGACTAGACTATAGACTAGACTATAGACTAGACTATAGACTAGACTATAGACTAGACTATAGACTAGACTATAGACTAGACTATAGACTAGACTATAGACTAGACTATAGACTAGACTATAGACTAGACTATAGACTAGACATAGACTAGACTAAGACTAGACTATAGACTAGACTATAAGACTAGACTATAGACTAGACTATAGACTAGACTATAGACTAGCTAAGACTATAGACTAGACTATAGACTAGACTATAGACTAGACTATAGACTAGACTATAGACTAGACTATAGACTAGACTATAGACTAGACTATAGACTAGACTATAGACTAGACTATAGACTAGACTATAGACTAGACTATAGACTAGACATAGACTAGACTAGACTATAGACTAGACTATAGACTAGACTATAGACTAGACTAGACTATAGACTAACTATAGACTAGACTATAGACTAGACTATAGACTAGACTAGACTATAGACTAGACTATAGACTAGACTATAGACTAGACTATAGACTATAGACTAGACTATAGACTAGACTATAGACAGACTATAGACTAGACTATAGAGTAGACTATAGACTAGACTAGACTATAGAGTAGATATAGACTAGACTATAGACTAGACTATAGACTAGACTATAGACTAGACTATAGACTAGACTATAGACTAGACTATAGACTAGACTATAGCTAGACTATAGACTAGACTATAGACTAGACTATAGACTAGACGATAGACTAGACTATAGACTAGACTATAGACTAGACTATAGACTAGACTATAGACTAGACTATAGACTAGACTATAGACTAGACTATAGACTAGACTATAGACTAGACTATAGACTAGACTATAGACTAGACTATAGACTAGACTATAGACTCTATAGACTAGAACTATAGACTAGACTATAGACTAGACTATAGACTAGACTATAGACTAGACTATAGACTAGACTATAGACTAGACTATAGACTAGACTATAGACTAGACTATAGACTAGACTATAGACTAGACTATAGACTAGACTATAGACTAGACTATAGACTAGACTATAGACTAGACTATAGACTAGACTATAGACTAGACTATAGACTAGACTATAGACTAGACTATAGACTAGACTATAGACTAGACTATAGACTAGACTATAGACTAGACTATAGACTAGACTATAGACTAGACTATAGACTAGACTATAGACTAGACTATAGACTAGACTATAGACTAGACTATAGACTAGACTATGACTAGACTATGACTAGACTATAGACTAGACTATAGACTAGACTATAGACTAGACTATAGACTAGACTATAGACTAGACTATAGACTCTATTATTTATACGTTTATTTATTTAGACTATATAGACTAAATATTTATATATTTAGACTATAGACTAGACTATAGACTCTAGTATTTATATGTCAATTATAAACATAAAAGTATTTTTCTGTTGTTTACCTTTTATGAGGCATATTGTCAAATCTTGGTTACAATAGATGCTTAAGTAACATGTTGTTGTTATAAGCACGGGACTGTTTTATAGATGCTATTGAAGAAATAGACCGATTTTAAAGAAAATAAATAGGTCTCGTGCTTGAAGCAAATTTCTATCTTCAGTTTGATTACATGTTGATTATAATTGAAAAGTTCAAAACTACAATTTAAAATGGTGTGGCAAAAAAGGACAACCACACTCTAGGCACCAGTTGACGAATTATTAGAAAGTGTTTTTTAAATGTTCTTCTAAAACATGAACTAATTTAATTTTCTATTTTTTTACCATTTTGTCTATTGTATTCCTTTTATATATTAAAAACGCTGAATGCAAACCGAAAGTAAATTGAATTCTAGTTTTCTTCTGACATTAAAAAATCTACATACATACATTTCCATTTAGCATAACATAAGCATAGGAATTTTTAAGGTTGTTGCTATTTAATCTACCCTATATTTGGTGTAACCATTATCGATTTGCAAATGACGCAATAAGTACTAAAATCCTGTCCTAGTTTACTTTATTTTTTGGTATTTTTTGTTATAAATATAATGTTGTCCTTACCCAAAAAATGTGTT